GTGCCAAGAAGGTGAGGTAGACAAAATCTGCTGCTTGCCCTCCTTCTCGTGCATCTAGTGATCGGCGCAACGACGATTGCAACTGTTAGAAGCATTGTGCATCCTTCGGTGGTGATTCTTCTTCTCCATAGTCATATTTAAAAGTTACGCAATTCGACCCTAACAATACCTAAAGGGGGTGAATAGGTATGTTATGCGGAATTAAAATATTATAACAAATTAGCAACAAGTCACAAATTGTTATGTCTAGACGGTTACACAATCACGTCAGTTTAATCCTATATTTGAATACCGCAAATTATATAAACAATAAATAAAGCAGTATATCAACGCACGGTATAATCATGGAGAAACCCAACTGGGAAAAACTTCGAGCACTTTGCGAGTCAACAATCAACTACAAATGATTTGAACAACTTACGGTCTATCAAACTAGACAATCCGTTCTATCTGACCACACAACTACACTCCTTACGACTCTCCATGGATCCCATGCTCCCCTACACCAATCCTTAGCTACTGTTGACAATGCTCTCCGCAGAATCTGCTACCCTGCAGCACTTCTAGCGTTTTAGAATCGTCTATTTCCCGTGGATCAACGAAGAACACCGCGTTCTTCACAAACTGTAACTCTAGTCAAACTTTCTAGATCTTCAGGACTCTGATCAGATGTAGAGAAAAGGCAGTTTGGTATTTGGATTATAGAAATAATGTTTTTCTCAACTAAAACAATCAAAGTAGATGAAGGTTGAAAGACAAAATCGAATGACTATCTTACAGATGAAGTTCTCTTAATGTTTAAACTCATGAATTTTCGTACAAAAGTGTTTTTATATATATATGTAGGTTAGAAAAACGAATGGGTCGAGGAAAAAGCATTTAAAACGCGAAATAAAAATTTCTCGGATAAACATGTCGCTCGAGCGAGGGTTCAGCAACAGTCGAAAGCGAAGTAGGGGTGACAGTCCAGCAACAATGTTTCTACTTTTGTAGCTCGAGCCAAACTTTGGCGATAGTCTAGCGAAAATTTTTCGCCGTTTTCCTGTTTTGCCATTTTCGAACCCTATACCAAATAAACCTATTTTCAACTATTTGTACATTACTCATTGACTTTTTAAACATAGTACAATACGGTCCTTTTGTTTTCAGAATCACCAATTACAGAAGCATCGAAAACCTAACAATGTTCTCTTGCACGGACGCCAACTAGTTCGACTGAGTCAACTTAGAGAAGTCGATCCAATTGAATTTCTTCTCCTCAACATTGAAGGCTTCTTCTCAATTAATGATTGCGACTTCAGTCATGTGAGGTCTATGATTGGAGGATTAGATTGATTTTTCTCCAAATTAATGAACTCAGAGCTTGTAAACTTACAAATCGTAGGCGACTTTGAGGTGACAGTGGTGGTTTTCGTTATGGATTGAGGTGCTGGTGGGAGTCCCTTGTTCAATCTACCAACATAGATATTGTGTTGTATTTTAGCTTGATGTTTTGGTTTTTGGTGGTGGTGACGAGTTTTGGTGGTAGTAGGTTGCGGGGTGTGTGCGGATCTATTTTGTGGTACGTGTGTTCGTATGTGTGTGGAATGGTGTATGCGATGGTGATGGGTTATGGTGGATCTGTGTGTGATGCGTTGGAGGTGGTGGTTGTGTTGTGGTGATTGTGAGGTGATATTGGTGCTTTTCTTGTGGTGCCAGTGGTGGTGGAACGAAACAAGTCAGATGAAAAGTGTTTGTGACCAACTATTGGATAATTGTTACTAATAAAATAAATAATTTGTGATCAATAAATAATATGTGACCTAAATGATATGTTATTTGTGATTAAATTAGTGACTGTGACCTACAATTTATGTCTTACCTATAAATAAATTGTGACCAGTTAATTTAATAATTTGTGATCGAGAAATAACTTGTTGACCAATTAATTTAATAATTTATGATTGTGAAAATAAGTTGTGACCTATAAAAATTGTGGTTTGTGATCGAGAAATAAATTGTAACAAATTAATTTGATAAATTGTGATCGATAAATCCTTATGACCTAAAATATTTATTCTTTGTGGCTGTAACATTATGTGATTACGACTACTACATAACAGTGATCATAAATTGTATAGTACTATAACTTTAACTTATTTAATTATCTATATAATTTAAATAAATATTTAATTAATATCAACTGATTTTTGAAAGAATTTCACAAGTTTGTCAAATTTGAAAGTGTATTTTTGAAGGTTGGTAATTATGTATTTTTCCCTATTTAAATTATATATGGTAGCAAAATAAAAATATTAATTAAAAGTAATAATCCAGAACTTTCAAATATCTAAGGGTCCGTTTGATTGCAAAATTGGAAAATGGGTGGAAAGAAAATGTTTTATAGGGAATTAGTTTTCCTAGAAAATGTTTTATTGGGAATTGTAATTAATTGTGTTTGATTAGCAACTATTACAATTAGGGTTCGTTTGATTGTGAATGTGGAAAATGGGTGGGAAGAAAATGTTTTATAGGGAATTGATTTGCCTAGAAATTGTTTTATTGGGAATTGTAATTAATTGTGTTTGATTGTTATAATTTTTCATGAAAAATGTTGAAAGTTTGGTGTCCATTTGACTTCCTTTTTTTATGGAATTTGTCCATTAAAGTGATAATTTTTTCTATCATTGGGTCTAAAATTTGTTTCAATTGTAAAAAAAAAATTGAAAAAAAAATTTTACCATACCGAATATCATTCGTTTAACTTTGTTTTGCATGGAAGTTGTCAATAAAAGTGAAATTTTCTTTTTACCATTGTATCTAGAATTTGTTCACATTGCAACAAAAAAAAGGTAGAAAATGTTTTCCCACCAAATAGGTAGGTGGAAAATGTTTTCCCATCAAATAGGTGAGAAAACAAAATCAAGTTTTTGTGCATCAAATGATTGTACCTAGAAAAAGGTGGAAAACCAATTCCAGGGAAAAAAAGTGAAATCAAACACGACAAAAGTAGGAAACGGAATTTCAATTCCAACTTCCATGGAAAATAAAGGGCTATCAAACAGGCCCTAACATAAACAACAGTTTGTTGGAATTAAAATTAAGATTTTAATCAAGGTCAAAATCAACAAGTAATTTTAACCTCATATTTCATGGAACCCACGACTTTTCAATCACATATTTCATTAATTTTTATCAAAATTTTCTTAAAATCTTATTTTCATCCCTGCTAAACAATCATTAAATTTACTCTTCTAGAATTTTTAATAGAAAATTAACAATTGTACTGTTATAATCAAATTGTTTTAATAACCTTTTTTTAATAGACACCATGTCATATCCATTCAACATTTCTTGTGATATTGTTATTGAAGGTGGGATTTTATCATTCAACTTTGAGAAGCATCTCTTGGATATGCAATTGTAACCGGTATAGTTGATAATACGTTTTTTCGTGAAACTTAAGTTCAACTTCTATTTGAGCGGCAAATTCTTTAGCAGTAAGATTTAGATTTCGTTTCTCTATATGTTTCTAAAAATTAAATAAGTATTTTCAAGTGACTAATAGCAGCATCAATAGACATGTCCTCACTATACAACATTTAACTTACTCTATTAATAGCAAACAATACATTGTATCAATTAACCACGTCAAACAAGAATTCAAAATCCTTAATGTCAGAATCTTCTAAATACCTTAGGGTAATAACATATTTCCATTAAGTGTTTTAAAGCGATTTTTATTTTTTGCGCTTGAAATCTTATTGATTTAACACTTTCAACTTGATATTCCCTAACATATTTATGATAGTGGCTTATACGTGAGACCTTTTACATTAACCTTGCATACTTATAGTTAATTAGTTGCATAAAACATTGAGTTTACCATCCGAGTACAATTTTCAAAAAAAGAATAGATGTAACAATTGAAAAATCCGACAAATTTTATACTTTCATGCCAGAATTGAAAAAAAAAAAATTAAAAAAACACAAAAAAATATAAAAGAGGGCATAAAAATTTAAAGCAGAAATCATACTTGGCATTATTATTGTCAAAGACTGTAATGCAAGCTAGAGAATTTGTAGAATGTTCAATTCGAGGATGACTAAATTAGTAGAAAAATAAAATAAAAGCTGAAAGGTAAACGACAAAGAGAAAAAAAGAGAGAAAACGAAGAATTGATGTGAAAACGAGGGAAAAAAAATATCTAGACCCAAATGTGTTATAAATTTTTTTTTATCGCTGTGAAAGATATGAAACTTTGTCTGAGAAAATTTCTTTATTATTTATAAAAAGAATTTGGGACCTTCATTCAGATAGAGCCTTAAGTGATCCGCCTACTCCGCCCCGCCTATAGTCAAGGCCGGCACTGGAAACTTTCCAAGACATCATTGGCAGCAGATTCTTCATTCTTCTGTTGAGAACATATGAATCTTCAACCGTGCTACTGTTGTTTCTACCTCCCAAGAATTTCCGAGCAATTACCTTTTTAGAACGAACTGTGACTTAGCCACTCATCTTAATGCAATAATCTTTCATGAAGTTGCAACTTCTGAATGAAGATGTGGAATCATTCGATCGAAAGCCAAGAGAGAAGGAAAGTAAGCTTATAAGAAGAATTTGTATATACAAATGAATAATGAAACTTCATTCGAAATTCAGTTTTTAACACAGCTTCAAGGGCTCATTCCTCACAATCAAGTAGTACTCGGAATTAATTAAATTATTCTGTGAAGCTATCATTTGATACAATGAATCAATGTTACATCTAATCCCTTTGTAGATTTTGCATAAACAGCACCAATAAAAGTATAAAACAGAAAAGTCTAGACTTTGATTCCATGAATCAAAACCATCAACCACCTTGTCTATCCTTAACTCTCATCTGCAAAAGGACAAGGATTATCTGTTGCAAAGAGAGAGAACAAAGTTGAGATTTTGAGTCACTCTACTTGCACTCTGAGAACAAAGTTGAGATTTTGAGTCACTCTACTTGCACTCTGAACCGTGTCGACCAACTTCAAAATTCAGCTGAGCCAGGTGTTCTAGGGAAAGGTATTGCATCTCTGATGTTCTCTATTCCAGTTGCAAACTGCACAAGCCTTTCAAAGCCTAACCCAAATCCAGCGTGCGGAACTGGAGACAAAAAATTTCAATCAAATTCATTCGAATCACTTTTCTTTGTTCTTTTTAAACTTGAAAGTATTCACGGAAATGCAAATAAGGATGAGAAAGAAAGAAAAAATTCTAAAAGTGCTTGTCTGAAGTGATTGAAAAGTGATTTTTTTTTGTAGAAAGTGTGATTAAGTAGAGAAAAGGGATGGGGAATCGTGAAAAATGATTATTTTTGGAGTGTGTGCGCTTCAAAATGGTTGTGGAGAAAAGTGATGACGGTCTTCGAGCCAACTGAAACCTAATTGGATTTTGTTTACATATTCCAGGTTTTACTTCCAAAGACAAATAGCAGTTAAGGAGTGTTAACACATGGGGTACCAATTAAATCGGTTGCTATATCTACGAAGTTGAAGGATTTCAACAATAACTAAAAGCTGATACGAAACTGCAACATGAGAGTAGTGTCAGATTATGTAAAGGTCTCTCACCTGAACCATAACGCCGCAAGTCAAGATACCACCAATAGCTCTCCTTGTTGAGCTTCAATTCATCCAACCGTTCTTCCAAATGGTCAAGGCGCTCCTCTCTTTGGCTTCCACCAATAAGTTCACCCACCTGAGAAAGAAAATCACATTCGGCAGTCATATATAATAATATAGAATTTGAAGAGGGAAAAACACAATTTTACCAAATAAAGGCTTCTTGGACAACCCCAAAACACACAAAAATGAAGATTTGGGTATCCACGATCAGTTTAAGAACATAATGCCTGATGGGGCAAAAAAGGATGAGATGGTGGAATCAATTCTAAACATACAGGAGAAGTTTACAAGTCTAGCTGCGAACGTCCACCCAATTGATACACACCATACATGTGCTATTTACATAAACAAAGTTTTTCTTGTAAAAGGAACGATCACCTGACTATTTCATCAAACAAGGACATAGAGTACTGGAAGGTAAGATGAAGCATTGATTGAGCAAATGATCAAATATCCTTAGTAATCACTCAATTGCTCAAGGAAGAAAAGGTGAATGTTTCAATGACCGGAAAAATGAGGACACCATATTATTATGTAATTAATAACTCGCACCACCACATGCACATATGATGTATGCAGTTATATGCACATATTTACATGCAAAACACATTCAGGATTAAGAAGCAATTATTATTAAATTCAAATGATGTATGGGTCGTGCAACTGTAGTATAATGTCTCAGAAAATGTATCAACAGAGTAGTACCCGAGGAACCAACATATCCATGGCTGCAACAGTCTTTCCATCATTGTTTTGCCGCATGTAAAATGCCTTAATCTCCTGAGTTTTTCAGAGAAAAGAATTAGTGACCAGTTCTGCAAAGAGATTACTGTTAATCTGTTTTAGGTCAATATTCATGCCTTTGGATAGTCTCTAATAATTACAGGGCATCCACCAAACTCCTCTTCGGTGATATATCGTTCATGTTCACTTTGTAAATCACATCCCCATTGTACCTATCAGAAGTGCATGCAACTGATTAATATATTGATATGTTCGGAAAAGTTAAAATCATATTATCCAGTCTTCAGTATAAATCAAGAGACTGACTGAATGTCTCCGAAGAACAATCAGAAATACGTGTAAATTACTCTAGAAGGGAGGAAATTTTGCACAAGAAGTTTAAGGTAGAGTGTAGCACCATCTTATATTGGTTTTAGTGGGTATATCTTCCAACCTTTCCTACTTGATTATACAAATTGATTTTGTTTTTAAGTTATTTAGTATATCAAGATTTTCCCCTGAAAATAATTAATGCACTTTTTGTAGCACACTTCAACTAGAGTAGCTTGTCAGTATCCGACACGTGCGTGTCGATATCGACACTCCTAGGGCACTCTACCATAAATATTTTTCTTTTTTATTAATAATATCATATATATTTTACTCAAATTTATTAGTAAATAACAAATAACTACTCATATTTAAAAGATTTCAACAAGAAAATTAATAACAAGTATACAACTAAATTTATGCTATATAAATGAAGAATTTTTAAAAAGTTAATCAACATGTCAACGACGTGTCGTGTCAGTAATTTTTTGAAAAATCGCGTGTCGACGTATCGGATACGTATCCGTGTCAATGCATTATGCACTTGTACAATTAGTTCAGTATCTTGTACACCACAAGATCATAAACTGACTCATGATAGCAATAATACTTGGCAAAAGCATGCAAACAAGATCAATCATGAAAATGATATAACTACCAAGAAATTGCAAGTACCGGAAATTCGAATTTCTTCTTTGCATTCACGAGAAGCTCAACTGCATCAGTGTAAGTCAGCTGAACAAAGTTTTTCTCTACAACATCCTGTTGGACACATGATTGGAAAAGAACAAACCATCAGAAACATATACCAGCATCTACCGTGTAAAGGAGTGTGTCCAAAACAAAGTATTTAGATGCCTGATGAAAATACAAATAATTTATAATAGGATCATACAATGTCTAGTATAAAAAGCTGGAAACCCATACACTGAGGCGTTTGATGATTCCTTTCTCAATCCAAGTATTGAAAAAATCCATATCTTCCTTGCAGTTCTCTAGAACGTACTCCACCTTTCGTATAAAAACAGGCACATTGGATGAGTACAAGACAAATCTATGTATTTCCAATAAGCACATAATAGATGTGAAAAAGTTACATACTACATACTGGAGATAGGCAGCTGCACAGGCCATGTCATCGTCTAAGTCAGCAAATGCAAGTTCTGGTTCGATCATCTTAGAAAGGAAATTAACTGTTAACACTTTTTTTTTCATATTGGATGTGAATTTCGCATATTTTCCCAAGGAAATCACTAAATATTGATGGAACTGAACCTCAAAAGTTCGAAGGGAATAACAAATATACCCAGAACTCGGCAAGGTGCCTAGAAGTGTTAGAATTTTCTGCTCTAAACGTTGGACCAAACGTATACACCTGGCAGAGAGGAAATGGCTTTGTCAGACTTTAGACCAAACAAAAAGTAAAAGAAACAGTGCAACACTGAAGTAGTTTGAATGACAGTAGAAGTTCAGTATAAATAAGGGAAGAGAGATATAAGGGGAAAAGAATAATAGCATATAAATTGAAAATATTGGGAGGAAAAGTATACATCAGTAAGAGCAGTAGCATATGCTTCAGCATTGAGTTGCCCAGATACAGTTAGAAATGCAGGTTTCCCAAAGAAGTCCTGCCAAGCAAATGCATTATAAATAATTTACCAGTAAAAGTTTGGCGCCAATCACAGACAAGACATTGACTTGCATCAGCATATTTTGAAGAATTGAGACTATTGCAAAAAAACAAATTACTTAGCACAAGCAGCTACTGCACTAATTCATGTAAGAAAGACAGGATTAAGGTTGAAACATGATCTTAAACATGACAGATTAAAGGGTGTAGAAACATTTATTCACTAGTATCACATTCATAAATTGCTAAAGTTACTTTTAACTCCATGCACCAACTTCTCATTCCCTGTTGTGTAAGAAAAAGGAAGGAAAAGAAGAATAAGTTGATTTCCCCCAACATACGTTAGATCTCATATATCAGTAGTAAACCCAATGGATCTGAGGAATGAAACAGCATAAGTTTTTACAATGTTGACAAGTAAAAGACATTATTGCACTCCTGCAAGCATCACTGATCGTGTTAATAGATATCTAGAGAAGATGGAATGCAGCTCTATCAACTCTCTTCCAGGATCTGTATACTCCCTTTAAGCCTTCTCTATTCCTTCTTTTTCTTCCACTCCAGTTTTGATTAGTTTAAAGTGCAACTTTAGAGAATTTATTACTTAGTTCACTCAAAAATACGCACAGAACAAAAATTTCTATCTTTTAATGGTAACTTCTGCAGATTGGATCACCCATAAAAAAGTCGTAAAATGCTCATATGGCCCTAAACACTCCATGCTCCTCTGGACAACCATGTTATGATGAGCAGAGAAATTTCAGTTTTTGTTCTATGGGATCTATATGGCCTGGAATTTTTAATTGAATTCATTTCTAGAAGGAGCTATTTGGAAAGAGGAGTATTTTAACACATATGGAAGTAGTTTAATATTGGAATGTATACCAGATACATTAAGAGTGATCCATCACATTTACTCAAGGTTAGACTTGCAAAAGCGTTTATTGCACATAATTGATTGTGTTCAATGTGGTACACTACACGTGAAGCTTTTGAATCTCCATTAACTGTAAATTGAATAGCATGCAAGTAGCCACGCCAAATTCAATATATATTGCAATATCATTTGATAAAACAAATATGAGATGGAAAACAATTTATAAGACAACATTATATTTATATTTGCAATAAAAAACCCAGTTCTGTAAAATATGAAAGGAAACTATTTGTCTAAGAAATCAGAAAGTGAAAATTGCAATAGGGGGGAAGCAAATGAAGCTACATCAGTGATTTTAAGAATTTGCTGATTAGCCAATTTAGTGATATAACTAAAAAGCCAAGGAAGTGATATGCTGAGATTGGTTGGCCTTCAGCACGTTAATTGCTGGTACTACTTACCAGAACAAAGAAAATTCAATATTATATTGAGCGCTCACTTGAGACCAATCAATTAAACCATCTTCAGTTTTAGGGATAGCATTCACTGGAGAGTCGCCAGCTTCTCTAGAAGTAGGAACCTGTCGGGTGAAAAAAAAAAATGGGATCAGATGCACCATATGATGTGTCATAAATAAAGGCAATTGTAACATGATCAAACTCAATTATAAGGACAAAGTTCTCGGAACAGTAATAGCATATGCATGCACTGCACCCATCAAGCTCCACTGGCAAGTATTAAATTTATTTCATGCATAAAACATTTGGTATAAAGGGATAAAAAAAGAAAGAAATATTGTTCCAATCCAAAGGAGGGGAGGCTATCACAACTTATGCATGATTAGGAAATGAGGTGAAGTTCAGAATAATGTTCCATGTCGAAAAAGAGGACTGCAATTTTAGAGATTGAGAAATTTTACATTTGGTGAACACTGGTAATATCTTTGCAACACTCACCACACTACTTCCCACTCAAATTAAAAAGGAACCGGAGGCAACAGAAACACATAAATCCAATGTAAAAATTAAACCAAACGACGAGCAAAGTTGAAAAGACAAAGCACAGCGCCATGATGCTTGAGCAATAATGGAGAGCTCAAATAATAGAAAAATATGCAGCTCCTCCAAGATTTATGAATTAATGTCAAATATAGGATGTTGTCCAAGAACAGCATACCAAAGTTGTCACACAAAATTGTTCACCAGCTCCTTCACAATCCGAAGCAGTAACAATGGGACTAGAGATCCAAACGAAGCCATTTTCTTGAAAAAATCTGTGTGTAGCGTAGGCCAAAGCATTTCTCACCCTTGCAACCTAAACCAACTTCAGCATATAAATTTACAGTTATCACAAAAGAAAAATAATCTAGCAAAGAATTTATAGCGTCTAGAGCATTGGAAGATAAACATTATCGTAAATATGTAGTTACAAAGTACATAATAAAAACCATCAGACATGACAAATTCATTGGCCATGATTCATACATGGAGAACATGAAAGCAAACACTTTCATTCACAAACTGAAAGCTGACCATAAAATAAAAGCAAGCAGTGCGAGAAACAAAGTCCATATAAAAATGAGGTTCAGATGGTGATATCGAAGTCAAAAATAGAAAGTCCATACATATGTTCAAAATGAATTAAGTGTTATCAACGGAAACTAAATTCTGAAGGATACCAGCATAGTGTCAGCCACAGCATGCCCATCGTTTCCTAGTCTGTGTATCACTACAGTTTGCCAAAGGGAAACAAGAATGAAATTTATAACAGAAAGTGTATCTTAGAGAGAGGCTTCTTTAGCTTCAAATTGTTATATGAGGAAATCTGCATGGTTCCACAGGGCTTTCTAAATAAAAAGAGTCATAGTTAAATCCTAAAAGTCACCTAACAAAACAAAGGACTCACAAGTCCAAAGAACCTGGTCATCACCAAAGATCAAAACCTTTAGCTCAGGTTAGCACCAACAGTGAGTGTGGAGGTCACAAGCTATATGAAGGCTGAATGCAGTGATTTGGGCAGACCAGACTGACCTCAGAAACCACAAATGCGCAACCAAACTCAAATTAAACAAGACAAAGTCAAACTTGAGAGGCAGAGCTCAAAACGAAACAAACTTGGCCACCATGCCACCAAGGCAATAAGCACGCAAGGACCAGCTCAACCTAAAAGATGGGCATGTCTCAATTAGAATGTTAGTGAAATTACAGAGGCATGTGAGAATCTAGCTCAACGTGACGTCCACTTCAAGTCCAAAACATGAAGCAACCACCTAGAATTACAGCTGAAGACAAGACAAATGTCCTCTTGAGGACACCTGTCATAACCCCTTCAATATAAAACCCCCAAGGCCATTGACTTCAGTATTAGAAAATTAAATTTATTGTTGTTCTTCCAAGTTTTCTTCTCAAAGAAAACTGATACTGACTATCAGAAGTCTAATTGGCCGCCCCTACTATTCGCAGCTGAAGAGAATAACTGAACTTGGTTCCAGAATTTTTAGCATCAACAGTACACAAAATTGACGGATGCCCTCCCCAAGATTCCATATGTCAATAATAGTAATTTATATTCACAACAGAATGGAAGTAATGCCACCAGTATTCACGAAAAAGCTCATATTTAATCTACTTTCAATTAGACATTTTTTACTCAGAAAATTGAAGGCAAGAAACACAAAACTGATAAGGATAACCAAATTAACATTCCAAATCACTTATTTACCAAAAACTGGAACTGCTTTACCAATTTCTAGTTTATTAAGGTTTTTGCATTCCTTGTTAGCATTTACTTGAAAAGGTGATCATCATATTACTGGTGCTCAAAAGTTGACGAATTGAGAACCTAATAACAGGAAATGCATAAAAAGAAAGTGTGCCTAGTAAAAATGAAATTTGGGTAATCGGCACTTGTTTTCCAGTCTTTCTAAGCAACAGCAGTTCCAATAAAGTCAGCCTTGCCATGGCTGGTTGGGGTCCAAAATCATTGAGCTGGGTAGTGATGGCCGCAGTAGATTATTCTGACCAAGTCCCGGGGGCACAGTCTCCAGATACAAATACAACGGCAAGGGAATCAACGGTTCATCGCGATTTATCAGCCATAATACAAGTTTCGGAAGAAAATAACAAGCAAGCAGAGTTAGTTTTACAGGACGCATAATAGCAGCATTATAATGCATTCCACTAACACGAATGAAACAGTAACATGATGAAAGCTTATAACAAAAACAATGAAAAAATCATGAAACTATTAGGCATGCCCAAATTGGGATTAAGTACATGATAGCATCCAACAAATAAGCAGATCATATTAATTTCTGTTACTTTTGTGTATCAAGTCAAACCACTCTTTCCAATCTCTCTTCGCAATTTTCCATGAAAGTGAAATAGAAATGAAAATTTCCATAGCCTTATATGTCATATATGTAGCAAAAAAAGAACCTTCTACATCAGCAAGAAGAATTTACAGAAAAATCATTCTAGGTGCTAACAAAATCTACGAGAAGCATAATATGGAGCTAAAAGAAAAGCTGAGTCATACCGCGCCAAAAGTGTTCGTTCTAGGACGAAGATGGGCTTTTGTTCTCAAAAATTCTCTGCTTACCCTTTTCTTCTGGATAGGAAAAGAAGGATCACTCTTACCAATCTACAGAACAATCAAATGAAGGGGATTAAACAAAATTGAATGATTTAAATGGATATAAACAGAAAAGATGTACACAGCAGCTAGAGCTGGATGTGATCATCTATGTTTTCACTTTTTTTAAGCATCCATAAAGTATGGAGATGAAATATTCCTGCAGTTTTTTTCTTAAATGCAGATATATAGGTTTATAATTATCTTCTTCACCTCAAGGACCTAATGGGGTCGTATGCCAGCATCACTGACAAGAATTATAAAATAAGCAAAAAGGGAGCATGCGATCATATGCATAATATGGCTATGTCATAATATCTCTATTCTAGTATTAGCAACCAAATATCTTATCAAAGACGAAAAATTTTCAGATAAAGAACAATCATATAAGAATGTCCTAACCTTTAATACTGCTTGAGTTTGAGCTGACTGCATATTAGTCAGATTTTCTCATGGTTTAGACGGAAAATAACATTTCAGATTCTATATTGAGCCTTCAATGATGCTTGCTTTAACATTTATTTATATCTTAACATGCCAACAAAATGGCAATTAGAATATACAGTCCTCGAAATTTGTTGAAGTTCTGCCTTACCTTTTACAAAGATTTAGAAATACAAGGAGCTCCCACAAAGTAACCACTTTCAACCTATGCCTATTGATTCCTTATTTGCAGGATCATTAAAACAAAATGTCCTAACTTTCTTATTCTTTTTTTCTTTTTGCTAGCTACATCTGCATAGCATATGAATGGTACTAGAATTACACGGAGATTATGACTATATTACTTTCAGATTCACCATTTCTATTCTCACACATATGCAAGGATAAGCTTCCAACCAACTTTAACCTTCTTCTCAGAGAATACCTATTAGAGAAACAAGATGCATCTGTAAAGACAACTTTTGAGTAATTATGCCACATCCTTGTTTTGGTTTTGTAGCAAAAATATAAATCTTACATCTATCTACCTTAAATTCCATTGAACTCTAGCTATAATTTCATGTCCTTGAACAAATGAGGCCAACCATAAAATGATCTAGCGAATTGGGGAAACGCAATATTTTTTAAACAACTCCAAATTTCCAACCAACAAAGATGAATTACTCCAAATCCGCAGAAAATAAATGCTAAGAAACAACAAAAACTGCATATAGTTAATGGCTTATCATTAATCGTGGCACAAGTACCTCACATGTAACGAAACTCTCTCTCAGATACAGTTTTTTTCTGAGTTCACAGTGATTATACAAGTCCTAAACGGGCTTGGTAAAACTCAATCAAATATTCACTACGACAAGAAATAATATAGAATGTTAGAAGCCTTCATTACTATCAAATGGGATCAAACAGCAGAGTTTTCAGGAAAGCAGAAACTGATTAGGGTTTAGTGTTCATTAGAGCTGCTTTATGTCCTTATACATTTTCCAATAATATACAAACCAGAGGATAGCAATGTCCCTCCCTAAAGACATTTCTTAAGGGTTCCAAAAGCATGGACTATCACTCAATAGACAAAAGATACAACCGCCTTGAATCTCTAATGAAATCATGTTATGTGTTTTTCGAATATGAGCATAAGCAGCCAGAATTGTATGCTTCCGACTTCTATTTTGCCCCAATACAGGTATAACGAAACTCTTTATGGATTCAGGGACATTAAATATAGCACCTGCCACTCCTATTTTCACAAATAAACATATTATCTTACAATGCTTTTCTAGGACAAATTTAACCAAGTTCAAGATTTTCGGCAGAATTAAATGTCGGGTGATACTCCTAATAATGCATAAAACCAAAATGAAACAATACTAATACTACCAATAATGTTTATGATCGAAAATAAATTATGCCAGCCAGAGATCAAAATTCATTCAAAGTTAAACAAGAGAGAGAAGTTATTTACCGTTATAAGTTTTTCAACCTTCAATTCTATTTTTTGCTTTGATCCTTGACTGCGTACTATAGTACCTTGTATCCAAGCTGATGCACCAGTTGAAATCAAGCCACTCTCCACCTACAATTAGATTGATATGATAACTAGACAAAATTATTTCACATAGTTACCTGCAAGGAAAGCGGAATACGATGCTGACAAAGAAGCCAACGTAAAAGTACAATAACTGTTAATGCCTTTGTAAAATCTATGCAAAAGTCTACTAACTTAACCAAGAATAAAATTTGCCCGATAAGAATCAGCTAACTAGTATTTATAGTCAAGAATTAGCAACATAGATTATGCAGAATCATCTAAACCAATGCACTATCCCAATAACATCCACATGCTGCCTTCTTGTTTATGTACTCAAAATCTCATCAAAACCACAATGCCCCTGTCCGGTGTGGATTAAAATCAATAAAAATTGAAGAAATGTGTGTTCGAAAAGTTGTGAGTCTCATGAAACATGTGAATAAAATTAATTGTTCACTTTGAGTTGGACTAAAATCCAAATTGTAATCCACACCAAACAGGGGCAATATCTCCAGAAAAAACTAAGTCCCTGTTTCGCCTCCATTTTCCAAAAACTCAATTTTCTTAAACTTATTTTCAACCATAATCCTTCAACTTTTCAACCACACATCTCATTAACTTTTATCAAAATCTCCTGAAAAGCTGATATTTAGCTAAACCAAACAAGGGCTACATTTCAAGTCTTAGCATCAGAATCCAAGTAGTATGGAATATAATGAAAGAATCGTTCTTATTATTATTATTATTTTCCTTTTAACGGGGAAGGGTGACCAGTTCAATGACTCAGTGAAAATATTGTATCTTTTCAACTTAAAAACATAATTTTTTTCTCAGAATAATACAGATATACACAATTATAAAGATTTTGCAGATGAATTATAGTATGGGAGAACACTTAATATTTTATCATCCATTGAACGTGCATTAAACACAAAACTGATCATAAACAATAAATTTCCAACGCATTAATAAATTTCAGGCAGATGTGTAATACCTGATCATAACCTTCGGCATCTGAACGCATAACACATTGCATATTTGAAAGACACGACCCATCGTTAACCTACTCATTCATCAAAACCAAAAACTCCATTCACCGACAAAAACAAAACAAAATCTACACCAAATACATAACAAGAAGGTAGCTTTCACAACACTAAAGACTAAACAATCCAATTATCATTCCATATAGAAAATGTTACCTCAATAAAAGTGACACTACTCTGAACTCTAAGTGTTCTAACCCAACCCTTAACCACCACAGTCTCACCCAATAAATTCAACCCCTCGTCAGGCCCTCCTTTTATATCCAAAATCTTAATTTTTTTTCGAAATTCGCCGACTTTTTTCTCCAAGGTCTCGGTTTTGGTTGCCTCGCCGGAGGAGATAGCGGAGGGGATTAGTGAGCAGAAGGTGCGTCGGGACAGGGGCAAGGCGGCGGTGAAGGAGGAGATGGAGGAGAATGTTGGCAAGGAGATGGAGAGAGTAGGTTTGGGTCTGTGGAAGATATAGAGACGGCGGAGGGCGAGGGCGGTGGCGGAGAAGGGTTTGATGAGGCGGAGAGTGGAGGTGGCCGGAGACAGAGCCACGGCCATACTGAATTGTTCACTTCAGCTAACGTTTGTGATATGCTATATTGTGGCCAGAGTTTGCCCCTTCTTCTCAAAATTGTAAAATTTTGGGAAAAATAATAATTTATTTTTGGGAAATATAATTGAGAACATGTTTAAGGACCAACTTTTAATTTTTTAATTTTTTTTTTTTTAAATTTGAGCAATATTACAATCAATCATACTACATGTAAATCATCTTTTACATTATTATTTACATTGTGCAACATGACAACACACTATTGAACAGTTTTTTTAAAAAAAAAATTCGTCCACAATTTTTTGAAAACAAAAGGGAATGTCAAAGTTGGTGCAAGAAGATGAACGATATTTAGCATTATTCTATTACAATATGATTAATTTGCGGCGACCGTGGCTAAAAAAGACAGCACGATTTTTCTTGATCCATTTGTACTTTGAAAGAAAACATTCGTGCTAGTTTTGAAATATTAACATTCATATTCATAAGGTGATTATTGTACTCGAACATTCCGAAATAAGGTGATTATTCGCGAATTGGGTTACGATCCTACTGCAACACAAGCAAGAACTGAACCGGAAATATACTATTTGGAGATGAAGATTGAATTGAAACTCAGAAAAATAAGATTTATGTATATTAATAAAGAATAAGTTTTACTATTTCGAATAGTTTCGATAAGGAAAAATTAAAATATATACTTTATATATTGACTCTCTAGAAGAAATATGATTATTTTTTTTTTCAATTTTATGTATTTATCTTTCCTTGTAATCTATTATAGATAATAAACTTTGACATTACGATGGAAAAAATGATAGACACGTGCAAAATTTGTGCCAAACACGTGGAGTTAATTCTTTTTCCTTTTACTTCTTATTTGTTTGTTCCTTATTTTTAATTGTCATCCAACATTGTATATCAATCATGATTCTTGTGAAATACCATATAGGAATTAAGCCCCTTGTACATATGAAATGTGCATAAAATATTACAGATGTACATGTTGCGGTATTGTATTGGCTGGTTGAAATTGTCAAACTGTTTCTGTACGTGTAGCAGTATTGTACTATATAGACACTTTTCCAAGGAACATTGACAAATGCTAAAAAGCAAGAATTATGTGATCTTATAAAAATTTCAATCTGCTTTCCTGTATTTATTCTTCTGAGGACGATTTTTTGTGGAGGCAAGAATAGAGTCTCATTTGTTGTTTTGCTTTTCTTTTGTCCAATTTTTTGTTAATAAAGTTANATTTGTTGTTTTGCTTTTCTTTTTTCCAATTTTTTGTTAATAAAATTAAGACTCGAAGAATTCACCATGTCATAAGTGGTCATATACACAATGTGTGACATTTTTCACACCAATTTGATTAACTTTCACTCAAAAAATAAATAAAAATAAAAATTTTGAGATTAAAATGTCAAGAAATTTTGAGAGAAGATCTAAATACTCTAAATTGTGTAGTTTGAGGATTGTGGCTGCAATTTTCCATATCAATATCTATACCAAATCGAAACATAGCCTTGTTGATTGAAATTTAATTTTCATGTTTCAATTTTAGTTTAGACACGTGACAATTTTCTCATTCAAGTCATGAAAAATCATTATAATTGAAAAAAAAAATTTCTTGATCCGGAACTGGGACTTCAGAAAAATAAGTTGTATGTTTAATTACAAATAATAAGTTTTTACTATTTCTAATAGTTTCAGTAAGGAAATTGCCTACAATTAAATATATGTTCTATGTTTTGACGAGAAATTTGATTAAACTTTGTATCGGTTGGAAAAATGAGTATGTGGCTGACTTGGCATAAGTTTTGAGTGGGACCCGTTTGGCTATTTTGGAAGATAAAGATTGATTTGTGTTTTCCTCTGTGAATACATTGAAATCATGTATTTACTTGTCAAAATTGATGCTCGGGTGAATGAGAAATTGAATCTCAAAGTATGTTAATTAAAAGGAGTTTGTGTTGGTGGGAAAACTAGAAATGTGTTTATCCCACATAGAAAGTTGATGAAGATAAAAATCATTTTAAATATGGTTGCACTTTGGAAGGGTGTAATCATGTGTAGTATAGATATTCTCTCCACGTGCGCACGCAGGGGGTGCAATTCACGAATTGAAATGGGCTTCGAACCTTGAACTCGTATATATGCACGAATGTTGGATCGAAATGAGCAAAATTGCCCCTACATTTTTGTTTTATTCAACTGACTTTTTATTTTCTGAAACTGTTGAAACTCTTGTGGTAATTGCCATTAAGTGAATGGTCAAGTTACATTCTCAAGAGTCAAGTCTTTTTATGCCTCGTTTTCCCCTTTTCAAAAAAAAAAACACGTATTCATCTGAAAATACACGAAAAAAACTGTCTGCATACATTTTAAATCAGTTCACCGAAATAGTATCTGCAGTGCTCAGAATCTACTAGTATTACCGTTGTATTCTGAAAAATGGACACTCGATTTAAACCTCAAAACGATGAGGGGACGAATCTGTTTTAAAGAAACTGTGTGTAACACAGACCTCGAGTTAAAAGTTTTACTGTTTAATTCATTTTTTTCTTGTTTGTTACTCGTTT